ATAAAAAAAGCTATACTAGTTTTAGCTTCTTCTTAAGTAAATAGTTATTTTATGAAATGTATCAAATAATAATGATCAAAATAAGCAAAAAACATTGTTATTCTAAAAATTTTGATTCGCTTGTCGCTAAGATTAAAACAAATAGCATTTTACTCATTTCCAAAGAAATTTTGGTTGGAGTGCGTACTATTTTAAAGTTCATATTACGTGCTAAAGATTCAGAGAATTTGTTTATCAATTTGGAAGCACTTATAAATATATATATATATATATATATATATATATATATATATATATACATATTTGGGGTGGTTACTGTATTGTGTTTTATTATTATTTCAGGAGACGAGGCTCCAGTGAGAAGGTTATCGATAAGGGGTCTGCTGCCGGACACAGAACAATACATGACGTACGAAGGTTCGACGACGGCCCCCGCATGTCACGAAACTGTCACTTGGATTGTGATAAATAGCCTATCTACATCACCAAGCAACAGGTACTTCACACTACTATATTACTCAATTTGTTCTTCAATTCAACACATGTTGATACTTGATTTCCAATTAATGCTGTCAATCCTTAATTTGACGAGTTGTTAAGTATTGAAGGATCTAGCACATGAATTAGAGGAGTATGAATGGAACACTTGTTAATTGCCAGGTTCAGACTCATGGAGACAAGGGTATATAATTTTTTTTTGGTAGAAATCTGAGACTGTTCTGGACAAATCAGGACGTGTGGTCACCTGATTAGTATTTAGTTATCTTAAGATAGAGCCTGCTTTGAAAGCTTAAAAAATCGATTTTTTGCAAAAATGTCTACCAAAAATAACCAAGAATATATCCTTAAAATTTCAGAAACAAATTCATTTTATTTTCGGGGTTACAGAAGAAATTGAGAACAAGTGTTGAGCATGTATAAAAGCGGAACGAAGACTTCGACGCGCGATCTCTTGGTTTCTCATTTTTTAGATTTTACTTAATTGGCGGGAAAAATAAGATACGTTCTGTCAAAACGAGACAAAATTTATTGTATTCAGAATTAAATTTCTTTTAGTTAAACCTAAAAAACCTTAAAAAAAGTTTTAATTTACCCACTTTTTAAATAATCTAAAGTGATTTTTTTATCAAAAAACATGCTTAACATGAATTTTTAAGTTGCAAAAAATTGGTTAAATACTCACTTTTTTCTTGATTTTTTAGGTTTAACTAGAATCTATACTATTAAAAATATAAATTTGTTTAATTTTTTTTGTTTCGGATGGAAATTGTGACATGCATCTTTCCCACCAAATAACACCTGCACGCTATTGGCGCCTCAGCAAAATGCTTGTACCTGGCATATTATGACATATATTTTAATGAAAAAAATTGAGAAGAATTCTGAGATATATAATCATGAAACCTGAAAGTTTCGTTTTAATTAAATATTTATTTCCTTTCCTAAAAATTCCTTAATAAAGCCATTTATTGAAGCCTCTAAAGCAGGCTCTCCCCTTAAAATAAACCATAAGAATAGGTAAAATAAATAGATTGTTAGTTCTGAAGTTTGTCAACCATTCTATTGTATTTTATATGAATATACGAAGCTTACTAAAAATCAATTTTAAATTTTTGTGATTTATCCCATTCCAAAAAACTTATCGTATATAAATTACTCTCGTCCTCCGTAATTAAATCTACTTTTAGTCTGCAAAATAGTTTGTCTCCGGTGTAATTAATTAATCGATGAATGCCATTCAGTATGTTAAATAATCATTATTAAACCATTATCGTCAATCCAAACCAGTAAGCTTTTGTAGCTCGTGAGCAAATTACGAATAATTAATATGATTGCATCTGTGTTCCGAATGATGCCATTTATTTGGCCGAGCATATGGATGCATGACATGCATTCTGAATGCATTAAGTTGTTTTAGTGTTAATTGGTTGAACCGTGATCAATATTTTAATTAGACTAATGACTATAAGACTCTGAACTAAATGTATCAAATCGATCAGTATAAATAAGCAACGGCTGGAGAAGGTATAGTATAAGTAAAAAAATACAAGATATAAGTTTTATTTACTTTCTAGGATAAGTTATTGAATTAAACGCATAAGATTATTTAAAATTATTCAAAACAAATAATTTTATCCATTCTAAAAGGCCATATGAATTTTATTCTGAAGTTCTAACCAAATTTTGCCAAAAAGCGTATTTATTTAAATGATTTTGACTCTTGAATAAAAGTTTTTATTTATTCATTTCAATAAATTTTTATTGTAATTTATTTCATAAAATTTTTAATTAAAATCGCAATAGTTCTTATTCAAATTCTAATAAAAGTGTAAACGTTACGGTTCTTTATCGAGCGATTTAAGAAAGCACTTTACTACATTTTTCACATTAATTTATTTTAATTAACTAATTAGTAAGTTCATTTATATTTAATATATATTCATGTTATACATCAGCAAGCAAATATAAATTTTAAACGAAATTAAATCGCTTCACCGAGGAAACCCAAGCCGATCCATAAAGCTCAAATATGAAGCAATTCACATGTAAAATTATTATTCGTTCCTTCTATAATTCGTCGTTTACCTCAAACCAGGGTCGAGAATAATAATTGTTAACATATTGAATATTGAAATATAAATGAGGTTTATAAATTATTTAAGTACCATATAAAAAATTGAGTAGAGTGGTGCTTAAAGGTCCGCGTGTAAAAAGGTCCACAACTGATATCTCGAAAACAAGGAAAGTTAAGAAATTTTTATCAACAATATTTGCAAAAGATGTATAACCATAACTATAAAGCTATCACCTTAATTTTGCTATATCGCGATCAGGAGATCCATGGCAATATTTGAAAATCCTTAATAAATATATTTTCTTTCGTCGTTGGTGTTTTGGTTGTGAGCACTGTTGTTTAGTTTTCGAGATATTAATATGATTTTTAAGTATACACTATTTAATTGTTTTATAAAAATGTAAATTCTAAGTTAAATTCAATAGTTATATTATATTAAATTATTTAACTGCTATAAAAACTTACAAGTGAGTGGAGTAAAAAAAACCAACTAAATCTTTACCCTGGAATAGTGTAAGCAATAACAAGTGAATAAAAAAGAAAAGTTTAAAAAAATGAATAAATAAATTTTCACAAGGGAAAAATGAAATAAATAGTTATTTTTTAGCTCTACTGATGAATTATTCTGAAGTAATACCAGATCATGGTTATATACAATGTTATCTCTGTAAAAAATGTACTCATAAAATTTATATTTTGCATTGGTTAAAAAATAAAGCCATTATTTTGTAAAATCTTTTTAAAGTTAAAAAAAGTCGTTGAATTTGTTTGCTTCTTTGGCTATCCCTTCTTATTTTCCCAAAGGACAAAAAGTGGTGCATGGCCATTGTGCTTTAAGGCAAATTGTTATAACTTCCCGTACAAAAAATTATTTTTTATAAAATCATTTTTTTAGAAAATCATTTTTTTAGAATTTTGAAAAAAATGGATTTTTTAAATATTATTTGAGATTGAATTTCAATAATTTTACAAATTTTAAAATTATTGAATGAAAATTGACTCTTTGAACAAATTGATTTTTTTTTAACTGTAAAATATTTTGGAAATTTTGAACTTTTATTTAAAGCAATGGGGTTACGTTTCGGTAGCTGCGTAAAAACGAAACATTGAACAAAAAATTTTCATTTTTGACTTTTTTTGCGATTACTATAACTTATCCTACGGGAAGTTAATAAACATATTTCTATAATTAAGAGTGAACTAGAAATTTCACTAAACATACTTCGATGGTTGTTTGTTTGATATATGTTATGTATTGTCATCTAGTACAGACAGTATAATTATTACTTTTGTACCTCGCCCTTTTGAGGGCGAGAAAATTTTGAGCTACGAAATATAAATTTTTAATTTTATAATACGTTACATATGAATAATAGGTGTATTAATCCTGTGTCAAAATCCGATTTTCCATCCCTGATCCATGTAAAGCGGTTGCAATTTCACCTGCGCCGCGGCTGGCAATCTCGTCAAAATCCGACCGAATGCGACGTTAAATTTAGAAACTAATTTTAATTATTTTCATGCCTTAAGCACGGTAATTGCTAATTAACTCCGCTATAGCACGAATTCGTACGTTCCCGGTGGTGGCGGTGGAGAAATAGCGTGGGGCGAGCCGCGCTATTCTGCAATTTGTTATTTTGTGGCTGTGATTTTAGGAGATCACCGGCGGGAATTGATTATAATTTAACTTACTAATAGTTAACAGCTGTTTAGGAATAGTTTTTAAAATTTATAATCTATGATATAATTCATAGAAAAGTACCTACTGACAGGGATTGCTCATTAGATAATTTGGAAAAAATACTTCTGGCTGCTGAACACAACAATTAGGCGATTATTTCTTTATTACAATTACTACATACAACTTAAAGTAGTTGCAACCATTATTACCTAATGTAGTAATAAAATTTGCCATGAAGTGTTCTTCGAACATGTCTTAAAAGGCGGTGGCTAAATCGTGTAGCAAAAGTATTCATTACAGTTAATTCTTCATTTAAATTTAATTGTGATTTAATAGAAAATAGATAGATAGATAGATTTAATAGAGAACATATTCAATTTAACTTAGTAGGAATAATTTATTTTTCCAATATCTATTTATGCATAAAATGCCTCAAAGTGATATAATTCACATTAAAGTCCTAATCAACATTTTACACTAATAATGACCATTCGTTAGAAAAGCTCCGAACGTAGACTGGTGTTTGCAGAATGTATAAATTTTGTAAAAAATATTCTGTAAAAAACAAAATTTAAACCTTTGCGAAACTTTAATCTGTTTATAATTTTCTTTTCATAATTTGAGGAAAACATGTGGGAAATGATGAATTAAGCTTTACATATATAAATGGACAGTAATGAAATTTTACCCTTTAAATGGATATGGGCTTATTAAAATATCTTGTGATTAACTAAACAAGTTAATTACAATTTAACAATTTAACCTTGTTTGCAACATGATAAATAAAATTTTCAATAAATTTTAGAGTTTACCAAACGGGGAAATAGGTGGTATTATTTGAAACTTGTGCTTATAAATTTAACTCTATTTATAAGTGCATTTAATAACCGTTATAAAAATTACTGCAGTAATAAATTATACTACTTCATAAAATTTGCTGCGATTTAATGCGCCCATCAAACTCATTCACTAAGGACTCAATAAAATATTTATTAAAATAAAATAAATAAAACTTATCGTTTTAAGAGCGCGAATTTGATAACTTCTACTATCTATAAATGCATTTTAATAAATATAGAAAAGATCGTATTAGAGTATTTTTTGAAATCAATAAGTCAGATAAATATTGGGCAATATGGATAAAAATAATAATTTATCAAGCAATTTAGTGCGTAGTTGTTAATAATTTGAAAATAAATATTTTATTAAATGTTATATATGAACAATACAACACTCCGATAATTATTTTATGTTGATATAAGTAATCCACTAAATTTAAGAAAGTATTCACTGCATCAAATTTAATCAATAGTGTTTCAATATTTGCCCAGCTTTATGACGATATTCTAAAGTTTAGAAGATCATCTTTGGGAATTGATAACAATTTAAACTATTCACGAAATTACTTTCAATATACAGGGTGTCCCAAAATTTGACGTCAATCCGAAACTGGGTGAAAAATTAGAAAGTAAATTATCTCAGCTTGTTTGAAAATTATCAGCATTTAAGTGTAACCTAGAGCTTTCGTAAAATTTTGACTATTTTTTAGTTGTGGTTAATTTTCATGTTCATTTAAAGTTTGGAATCATTAATAACATTTTTAGAACCACGGCAAAAAAGAACAACAAAACTCTAGAGCACCCCAAGTTTTCGAGAATTACGCCTCGTTGGTGAATTATGAATTTAAAATTTTTAAAATCAGTCGACTATGAGAGACTATTCTTTATAAAAAATATTCTAAAATGTGTTAGCAAGTTTAATCAAGTATTGGTTTATTCAATCAAAGTTTTTAAATTGTAAAATACATAATAAATTTACTAATGAAAATTTTCGAGTGAAAAAATAAAACCCTAAAAATAACACTATTAATCTTTATAAGTGTGTGATGTAGCATTTTTTCAATTTTTTTTTGGTTAGGCCCAAAAGTGTGTGCTATGTTCAAACTTGAGATATTGTATAGTATGGATATTATTCTTATTTTGGATATAATATAAATGATTGTACAACTAAATTAAATCAATTCAGTCAGTCTGTGAACCCAAATATGATCGTCGAACCATTCGCCTAATAGATCTTCGTACATGCATCGCCGTTGAGTAAATCATGAAGTCCTGGCACCGGGCGTGCTAGACAATTCCGTTGTGCTTTTGATGGGTATATTTGCACGCCAAAGGGGCGGCTATTAATCTAAACAAACATTTGCAAACTATACCTAAATACTCAATATTCCACAACTAGAATCGAAAGATCATGTCCCAAGATAGATATGGACCAAAAGAAATTTGATGATCGGTCGTATTTAAACTAGCAGATCTATTTTTGATTACTCGAGTAATATGATTCAAATCTACGAAAAATATTTCAAGTGAATGTAATTTTGTGTACTCTGACAAATGCTCTTTGGTGCATATCAAACATCTATCAACACCGACGTAAAAGTTACTTTTACATCAGAAGATTGCACTCATGGTACAACTTGCAGACATCAGAAAGTTGTACTTATTATAAAATTGTTATTTGGTAACAGATCTATTTTTGGCTACTCGCATATACAGAGCTTTGGGACTGTTATTGATATAATCCAAATCTTCAAAAAATATTCCAAGTGAATGTAATTTTGCGTTCTCTGCCAAATACTCTTTGGTGCATATCAAACAACTGCTGACACAGAATTAAAATTTATTTGCACATCAGAAATTTGCACTGATGATAAAATATACAAACATCAGAAAGTTGCACTTATGATAAAACTTGCAGACATCTGAAAGTTGCACTTAATATAAAATTGTTATTTGACATCAGATCTAGTTTTGGCTACTCGCATATATAGAGCTTTGGGACGTTATGATATAATCTAAATCTTTGAAAAATATTCCAAGTGAATGTAGTTTTGTATGTTGTGACAAATACTCTTTGGTTCATATAAAACTTCTGCTTACGCAGACTCAAAATTTACTTGTACATAAGAAAATTGCACTTATGATAAAATTTACTGAAATCAGAAAGTACTTATTATAAAATTGTTGTTAGTTAGGTTTGTGTATGTAACATCTAATCACAAAGCAAATACATAGCTTTGTGACAGTTTGTGACTACCAACTGGTGACATAGAATTACCACAACATTTTTATTTTGGCCAAAAATGGGCTCTTATATTTCGTCCAACCTCATAAATTCTTAATCATTTGTATTATTTTAAAAGCAAGCTGTAGCAACTTTTATTTTCGCAATATCGAGACCAATCTAAATTTACATGCAACTAATCGTATTTTCTTAATATTTGTTTACTTGAGACTTACTGATCCACCTTATCTAGATATCTACTTATCTTTACTATTCATTGCAGTTTAAAGCTTTTCAATGGTTCTTGCGAATCTTGCAGCAAATCCAGGATCTCTGCAAATGATATCCTGAAGTTGAAATATACCAAGCTTCAAAATTCTCCAATTTCTCACACAGTCTTCTAGATGCCACAAATAATTTACCAAATTTTTCTAGATGTTTGGGTGACTTGTAACCTGCATTGACTGGGTTTAATTAGGATAAAAAATTTCTTGCCCATTGGTGAAAAACGGGAAATAAATTAAATTTAAACCCGGCTGGTTATATTCTGATTTATATCGTATTTGAACATTTTATTTCGCCAATCTTCCCGGAAACATAATTCGCTACAAAGATTTATATTATCAAGCAATCTGCGTACTTGGATAAACATCCTAAACGCAAACACAGATATTAGATATGGAAACTTCATCAGTATTGCTTATTGATCCTTTAGATGTTTGTGTAAATATGTTTACATCATTTTGATGCTTGGCATATAAATACGATCGAATAACGAGATATTCGCATTATCAGCGACTAAAACGCGTCCGTGCGATCCGATTCGAACGCTTTGAAGCATACTCGAAAAATACAAACGTCGAATTCAGATATTTTTAACGTTTTTGACACGGTATACACTTTACGAATGGAATTCGATATATAAGGTGAATTTTGAATTTTGTACGTGATTTGACCGGGTACATAGTTTTTATCGGCATTTTTAAAACACTGTTTGATACGGTCATGACACAGATTTGGCTCATTGGCTATTTTGATGGCAGGTTTCCATTTAGCTCATTCCTGTTTCGAATAGCAGTCAGAAACAGTCAGATACTTCTTAACTCAGTTTCTTTTTTGAGAAGACATCTAACTGGTTGGTCTATCTAAATTTGATACTTCTTTTATTAGAATTTGCCTTATTATGGCTACTTTTACGATATTGTCATCTACATTTTCAAGTATAAATCAATATCACTAATTTTTCATCTCATTTGTCTGAACCGCAGCATCAAACCTGGGCCTTCCTTATTGCGGAGCCAGGGACTAACTACAGTCCTAGGAACACCTATGTGAAAATTTTTAAAATTTATTTATTCACAAATATATTATCTATGTTATGCGTCAAATAATCATCATAAGCTAGGATATGTGTGAATAGTCTAATTTATTAATATCTACTTAGATTTGAACTAAAGCATATTCTTGACAAAGGTGATACTATTACTGTGATAGTCCAATTGTATCAAATTGCTTGAAAATAATTGGAGATCATTTATATATATAGACTACATACATACACTGACCATCATAAGTTCTGAGACTTATAAGCAATAAATATACATGCAAATTTTAGATTAATATGGCGCAAGAAATTTTTTTTTTGTGCTATAATTCATTTTTGTTAATCAAGACAATTGATAGGTAAAAAAAATGATACAAAAAATATAATATATTAAATATAAAACAACACAAAGTTCAAATAATAGTTTCAAATAATAATATGACCAAAAATGTTTGGTTACTATTTCATTAAGAGCTATAAGAAAAATTTAAAACTAATATCTTTCTTACTCTATAAATTTGTATATTTATAAGCAATAAGACAAATCCGATCAAAATTTAGTTAGAATGTAGATCACTTAATCAAGTTTCGTATGAATTGAATAGTTAAAAAAAATATATGTGAAAATGTATCTCGCTACTTCATAATAACTTTTTATTTAAACCATAACTTGCTTAATTAGTCAATATTTTTAAGGTGATATCATAAGCCAGTGTAAAATTTATAATGCGAGGCTTAAAAAAGAATTTACATTTTGTATGT